TTAAAAAAAAAAAAAAGGATTTCCTAGGACAGCAAACAACAGTCTTTTTAGGAACAGATCACTAGGTCATTTCTCTTGCAAAGCCACCATTAGATTTGAGCCATCAACTTTTCTCTTAGTTGCTAAGTGCTTAACTCTTGTGCTACCAGGGCTCCTTTCTGTAAACATCACAAAGTTTTACTTATTCGTATGTTTCTTTGTTATTCTTCACAGTAAAGAATTGAATGTCATCATGTCTGGAATCAAGAGAACAATCAAAGAAGCCGACCCTGATTATGAGGACATATCTGTGGCCCTTCCAAATAAGCGACATAAAGCAATTGAAAATTCAGGTAGAAATTTACTTGCTTTAGAAATGTGTTGTCCCGGCTGTGTATAATTTGGAGGGTTTTGTAATTAGCTAAGCACTTTGTTTCCTTATATTTCTATTGATCTCAGACTCTTTTTCCTTCCACCCTTAAGTCAGTTCTAACTCCAAGTAACCCTCCTAACCCTCTGTCAGGATTCTGAGGTGTAAATCCTTACAAGAGAAACTGTCTTCCTCTCTGGAACTTTTTTTATTTATAAATTTTATTTATAATTTTGTGTTAATTGTTGGCTGGCATCACAAAAAAGTTGGTAAATAAATGATGAAAATGTGGGAAGCATCTACCTCAGTTCTTTGCACTTAACTACTGGTGGATAAATTAAGACTCAGAGTTATTTAATTACTTGCCCAAGATTATGTTGAGGAGCAAGTCATAAACTGTGATTCCCCCGTTACCCATAGAGTATAAGAAAATGGCTAGATTTTCGTTTTTTAAAGTTATTACTGAAATTTATTAGTGGTTAATATTTTGCAAATGTATGTTTTTTTGCAGCTCGAGATGCTGCCGTGCAGAAGATTGAGACTATTATCAAGGAGCAATTTGCTCTTGAAATGAAGAATAAGGAACATGAAATTGAAGTCATTGACCAGGTATAATGATGATAAATTGGGAAAAAAATGAAAAAGCAATTGAAAAATGGGAGGGGAACCACAAATCCTATTGAGGTAGAGCTGTTTTTGTTTCTTTTATCCAGCTGCTGTTCTTTTAAAAATAACTCTTCATTTGGTGGAAAATGCCATTGTTATTAAAGATACCTAGCTGCTTGTGCATGTGTTCATAGGTATTTATTTTGTGAATTGTTTACGTATTTTTTTGGTCTTTGGCAATTTTTAGAAATAATGAGTTTCTGTTTGATTTTAGCGACTGATTGAAGCAAGAAGGATGATGGATAAACTTCGTGCCTGCATTGTGGCAAACTATTATGCTTCTGCTGGTCTTCTCAAAGTTTCTGAGGTAAGTATTCATCAGTGTGATAATTTCTCAGCCACTCATTTGTCACCTTAATGAGAAATTGATGTCAACATGGAATCCCTGGTCTAGAAACATTTCTTATATTAATCTTTAGGATTGCAGAAGCTTACTCTACATTCCTGGCAGATATGTAGACTTGGCTTTGTGTTCCACCACATTCCTTTGATCATCCTTCTCTACATTGCCGGTCCACTGTTCATCTGTCAGTGTCAGTTGGTGGTTGATGTGTTGCTGTGATGGTGGAAGCTCTGCCATTGTTTCAGATACCAGTAGGCTTTCAGAAACCAGCAGGTTGCTCGTCCATTGATGGCTGCCCTCCATGATGAGTTAGAGAAACTAGAACATTATCTGAGTTTAATCTCAAATTGTGAGCAGACATCTTATCTACTATAGGAATTTTCATAATATATTTAATGTTCTGTTAAATAGCTTGCTGTTCTGTAGCTGCTCTGTCTGAAGGACTAGATTTTCACTTGATTTTGTTTCTATTAGCTCTGATCTGTGCTGTTTGATATCTTGAAGTACATTGCTTTTATCCTTTCCTGTTTTATATTCTGATTAAGGAGCACTGGTGACAACAGGGTGATGCACTGGGCTGCTAATCAAAAAGCTTGATAGTTTAAATCTGCCAGCTGCTTGAGAAATATGGCCCTCCCCTCCTGTAAAAATTCACAGCCACAAAAACACAGCGGTCTGTTACTTTGAGTCAGAATGGACTTAGTAGCAATGGGTTTGTATTTATATTGTGATTTGGATTTATTCAAGGGCATTTAGGAATGCTCTTGTTTGTAATTGTAAACCATTTGTAACTAATCAGATGGTATATAATTATCCATTTCTTAGCATTTTTTGTTGGTTTGCATTTGATCATTTATATGCATCTTGTTTTGTGTATGTACTTTTTATTTTAAACAGTCATTTGTATATATTATATAATTACCTTGCTCTATGCCTGTTATAAAGTTAACCATTTAATTACTCTTGCAGTATAGTTTGCAGTAACAGTATGCATTGATAATAGCTCTGAAAATCCTTTGTCATTATAATTCAGAAAGCTTTTGTTGTTTTGAATCTGAACCCTAGTCTGTGGAGTCTTTCCCCCCCCCCCACTGAAACATTTATTTTAATGGCTTCATTTCGTAAAGGTTTCCTAGGAATACAGTGTACCATCATTTTAACAGAACATAAAGTCACTGAGTCAGAGCAGACTCCACAGTAACTGACAGCTAGTAATTGTATCCTAGTAATAAGACATAGAAAAATACTCTGGGATTTCTTATTGATGCACTACCTTGGAGTAGATACCAACTCATGGCAACCCTACAGGATCGACTAGCATGACCTCATGGATTTCTGAGTCTGTAAATATTTTTTTTTAATTTTTTTTTAAATTGGTTTGTTGTTATGTGTTGTTGAGTAGCCTTTGACTCATAGAGACCCTGTGTACAATAGCTCTGAAGTCTTCCCATGTTCTGAGCCAATCTCAAGCCAACACACCTGCCTGGGTTGCCCTAGTTACTGTATCAGTCCATCTTATCAGGGGTTTTCCACTCCTGCACTGTCCCTCCACCCTTCCGAGCATAGAAATCCTTCTCCAAGGATTGGTCCCTCCTGGCCACATGCCCAAAGTATGTGAGACGGAGTTTCAAAATCCTAGCCTACAAGGAAACTTGGTTTCACCCTCTCCAAGACAGACCTGTTTGTTTTTTTGGTGGTCCATGGTTTGTTCAAGACTCTTCTCCAGCACCACAACTCAAAGGCATCAATTCTTCTGTCATCCTTAGTCATTATCCACCTCTCTGGTATATGGCAAGTAAGTGTGAAGACCATGGACTAGATCAGGCACACTTTAGTCTCTAGACTGACATCATTGCTTCTCAATACTATAGAGAGGTCTCTGACAGCAAACTTACCTAATGCAGTTCTTCTTTTGATTTCCTGACTGCTGGTGCCAAGAGTGTTGATTGTGGAGCCAAGAAAGCTGTAACTGTTAACAACCTTAGTCTCTTCTCTACCCATCACGGGCTGCCAATTGGCCCAGTGGTAGGACTCTTTGTCTTCTTGATGTTAAGCTTCAATCCATATTGAAGATGACCGTTCTTGACTTTCACCAAGCGCTTCAGATCCACCTTAGATTTAGCATGCAAAGTTATGTCATCTGCATAATGTAGGTTTTTGATGAGTCTTCCTCCAATCCTGGTGCTACATTCTTCCTCATAGAGCCCGGCCTCCCGAATGATCTGTTCTGCATATAGATTGAAAAGGTATGGAGACAGGATGCATCTCTTCCTGATTTTGAACCATGTAGTGTTTCCCTGATCTGTTCTGAGGACTGCTTTCTGATCCAAGTATAGGTTTCGCATAAGCAAATCAAGTGTCCTGGAATTTGCATATTCCTCAAGGTTAACCACAATTTGTCATGATCAAATGGGTACCAGATTTCATAAACATTGTATTTCATTCATATATGTTGTGTTTTATATAATCTTTCATTTACATTGTGTTTCATACAATCATTCATGTATATTTTATATAAATAATTACTGTTGATCTGTGCCTATTATTACCCTGTCTTTTCTTTCTTTTTTTTTAATTTTTATTATTTTGTGTGTGTGTACCGTCAAATCAGATCTGACTGGTACAGGAGGAGATTGTTCCTCCTTCCTTGGCCGAGCATCTGGTGGTTTCGAACAGTGCACCTCTGGGATTGCAGTGCAGCTTCTTGCCACTAGGCCACCAGAGCTCCCCTACCCTGTCTTTTCAAGTCCCCATAAGTCTTTCCTATTCTTCCACCCTCCCTCTCCCCACTAAACTCTGCTCTCCTAGTGATTTCCACCCTTTCTCTTTTTTCTGCCTACTTTCTCCTTTCTTGTTCCCCTTCTGGACATTTATACACTATAATGATTACTACTAGTTAGCTATTTTTTATTTTTTTCTTAATAGTCTTATGTAGTGATTGTCCTCATGAGAGTTAGTTCACTCAGCATAACACTCTAGACTCTCCAATATTACAAGTATTTTACAAATTCCTTGCTCCTTAGTGCTGCATCGTGTCATAATTTCTCAATACATTCATTTGGGCATATGGGTGGTTTTCATTTCTTGCTGTTGTGAATAATGCTGCTATCAATAAAGGTGTACATATCTCCATTTGTGTCTTAGTACTGATTTTCTTAGGATATTCCTAGGAGTGGAATAGGCGGATCATAAAGGATTTTTGTCTTTAACTCTTTGAAGGAACACCAAACTGTCTTCCAGAGTGCTTGTAACATTTTACAGCCCCACTAGCAGTGCCTGAGAATTTCTGTCTCTTCACATCATCTGCAACATTTATTGCTTGCTGTTTTATTATTCCCTTTGCTACTATTACTTACTGGGTAAGATGCTATCTCATTGTGGTTTTGATTTGCATCTCTCTGCTTGTCAGTGATTTTGATCATTTCCTCTTGTATCTGTTGGCCTCTGAATGTCTTCCTCTGTGAAAAGACTTTCCATGTCCTTTGCTCAATTTGTGTTTGGGTTATCAATCTTTTTCTTTTGGAGGCCTGTAGTATTCTGTAAACTTTCGTTATGAGACTCTTGTCTGAGAATGCATTGCCAAATGTTTTTTTCCACCAGTAGGTTTTCTGTTTACCCTATTGGAAAAAGTTTTTGGTGCACACAGGGACTTGATTTTTAGAAGGTCCCTTCATTGATTTTTTTTTTCCTCTCTTGGTTGTACATGACGCTGTAAATCTTAACAGGACTACCAGTTCTTATTTTGCTAGTTCAGGCTACTGTAAAGTTTAGGTTTCATTTTGAGTATTGGGACATTTTGAAAGTCTTCAAGCATGATAGTGAAGTCAGTTAAAGATTTTAGAAAGATAAAATTTTGTTGCTTTTGCTTGGTTTTTCTTTAAAGTTTGTTTGCTTTTATTTCTGCAGGGATCAAAGACATGTGATACAATGGTTTTTAATCATCCTGCTATCAAGAAATTTTTCGAATCGCCATCTAGATCCTCTTCTCCTGCCAATCAGAGATCAGAAACACCATCAGCCAATCATTCAGAGAGTGATTCTTTATCGCAGCACAATGACTTCTTATCTGACAAAGACAATAACAGCAATATGGATGTAGAGGAAAGATTATCAAGCACCGTGGAGCAGAGACCAAGCCGAAATACTGGAAGGGTATGGTTGGATGCTTGGGAGGGAGCTGAATGAGAAGGGAACTTGCCTTAATTAAGTATGCAGATAGGATCTCATTTCATTTTAATAGTTAATAAGGGAGGAGTCTTCCTGACAAAGTGGAAAAAGTGTTGCTCTGCTACTAATCCAGAGGTGGACAGTCCAGACTCATTAGCTGATATATAGGAGAAAGGTGTGAAAACCTTTCTTGTTATGATTTTCAGCCTTTCTTTTAGAGTTGCTGTGAGTCAGAATTGATGTCGTCATAACAAGTTATTAATTATTAACTTTGTCAAGATGGGCAGAGTGAGCTTCAGTAAGGTTAGATTTATATGTGCCTCAAAGTTACCAGAAAAGAAAATTAAGCCTGAATTTTTGTAGTTTGAGAATTCAAGCCTGCTATACACAATGCAGGTCTATGACACCATCTGTGTAGGTAATAAAGAAAACTTCAAGCATTGACAATGTTGTAGCCTTGCTTAGAACCCAAGATTTTTCCACTCTGTATGTTTATTCTCTCAGGAGAATAAATCTTCAGTTACTTCTGTGAAACTTTTTATGTTCTAATATGCTTCTGTTGCTTGAAGAAAAAAGAGAAAGAATGGAAAGTACTTGTTGTTTTTTCCCCCTTCCAGTTTGTTGTTTGAGTTCCCATGTCCAGCTATTCTGAATGTCTATATAATATTTGGCTAGGGTTCACATAGAGACCTTAATGGATTAGACCAGAAAGGATCTTTTTTCCCAACTAGATGTTCTGTGAGAGAGAAAATTTCCAGGTTGCTTCATAAATCAAAGATACACCTTTCTTACCTTAAAAACTTTTATGATTTTTTTTTAACTTGTGACTATAAATTTGTATGGATCCAATTTTTTTTTAGCATTTTAATTTTTTTTTAATTGAGATTTTATTTTAAGTTTCTGAGGAACTTGGATTTCCATTCATTCATTGTTTGGGTCCAATTTCTAATTGAAAATTGCAAAATGTAGACTAGAAGGTCACTCATAATACCACTATTCAGAATCAGAATTCTTAATGTTAGGCTTTCTGTATATCTTTCTAGTGTGCATATGGGAAATGTTTGTTTTGCTGTTTAATTTTAAATGAATTAAGCTATCTTGGGGATCTGATGGTAAATAACTGTGCTGTCAGCCAAAAGGCATATGGTTTGAATCCCCCAGCAGCTTCACGAGAGATGGGCAGTTTCCTCCCATGCAGTTTTACTGCCTCTGAAAACCCAATGGAAGGTCAGCTCTGAGTCAGTTCCAGTTTGATGGCACATAAGAATAACAGCAAAACTCTGTTGTTCTTTAGAGTCAGAGTAAGGGTGGTGAAACTGTGCCTCTCTCACTTACTGGGAATGTGTAATTCAGGAGGAACCAGGTTTTGGAGAGAGGCATCATGGTGGAAAAGGTAGAGTGAGGTTAGTGAATGAGAGGAGCCCCCTTCAGGAGATGGACTGACACAGTGGCTGCCACCCTGGGCTGAGAATGACGGAGATAGGAGGACGGTGCAGGATATGTTGCTCATAGGGTTACTGTGAGTTACAGTCAACTTAACAGCATCTAACAACAAACAATAGCAGTTATGTAAGGTGCTGACAGGTTGGAACTTGATGTTGGAGGCTCATAACTGGACCTCCAGTGGATTTTTAGAGGCTGTAAATGACACAGGAGGTGATTGACCAACTTTCTCTCTCAGAACAGCTGATGGATTTGAACTGCCTGCCTTTGAGTTGGCAGCACACAACTCTTTACCCACTAGACCATCAGAGCTCTTTATATTAGTTATAAAATTTTAAAGTTTAACATCTTTATGCATCATATGTTTATGTAACAGACATAGAGCAAATACTATGTGCCATGCACTTTAATAAGCACTGAGCAATTATAACAAATAAGGTGGATAATGTTATCTTCAGTATTTTATAGATAAGGCATTGACACAAGTTAAATAATTGCCCCAAAGCACGGCTCTATGGAATAAGTCAGAATTTGGGCTCAGGTAGTAGTGGGTCCAAGTCAGACTTTTCACCACTGTACTTCTGTTACTTCTCAAAAAATATAAATATGCCTTTCTGCCAGAGAACGCTGCCGAGGAAGCATCGCGAAAGTGTTTATTCCCACTGCCACCATGTCGAAGTCAGAGTCTCCTAAAGAGCCCAAACAGCTGCGGAAGCTATTCATCAGAGGGCCAAGCTTCAAAACAACAGATGAAAGTCTGAGGAGCCATTTTGAGCAATGGGGGACGCTCACGGACGTGTATTAATGAGAGATCCAAATACCAAGCGCTCCCGAGGCTTTGGCTTTGTCACATACTCAACTGTGGAAGAGGTGGATGCAGCCATGAATGCAAGGCCCCACAAGGTGGAAGGAAGGATGGTGGAACCCAAAAGGGCTGTCTCGAGAGAAGATTCTCAAAGACCAGGTGCCCACTTAACTGTGAAAAAGATCTTTGTTGGTGGAATTAAAGAAGACACTGAAGAACATCACCTAAGAGATTCTTTTGAGCAGTACGGGAAATTGAAGTGATTGAAATCATGACTGACCGAGGCAGTGGCAAGAAAAGGGGCTTTGCTTTTGTAACTTTTGATGACCATGATTCTGTAGATAAAATCGTTATCCAGAAATATACTGTGAATGGTCACAAATGTGAAGTGAGGAAATCCCTGTCAAAGCAAGAGATGGCCAGTGCCTCTTCCAGCCAGAGAGGTTGAAGTGGTTCTGGAAACTTTGGTGGTGGCCGTGGAGGCGGTTTTGGTGGGAATGACAACTTTGGTCGAGGAGGAAACTTGAGTGGACGAGGTGGCTTTGGTGGCAATCATGGCGGTGGAGGATATGGAGTCAGTGGAGATGGTTATAATGGATTTGGTAATGATGGAAGCAGCTTTGGAGGTGGTGGAAGCTACAGTGATTTTGGCAGTTAAAACAATCAATCTTCAAATTTTTGACCCATGAAGGGAGGAAATTTTGGAGGCAGAAGCTCTGGCCCTTATGGTGGTGGTGGTCAATATTTTGCCAAACCACGAAACCCAGGTGGCTATGGTGGTTCAAGTAGCAGCAGCAGCTATGGCAGTGGCAGACGGGTTTAGTAACTGCCAGGAAACAAAGCGTAACAGGAGAGGAGAGCCAGAGAAGTGACAGGGAAGCTACAGGTTACAACAGATTTGTGAACTCAGCCAAGCACAGTGGTGGCAGGGCCTAGCTGCTACAAAGAAGACATGTTTTAGACAATACTCATGTGTATGGGCAAAAAACTCGAGGACTGTATTTGTGACTAATTGTATAACAGGTTATTTTAGTTTCTGTTCTGTGGAAAGTGTAAAGCATTCTGAAAACAAGGGTTTAAATGTAGAATTTTTTTTTTGCACCCATACTGTTGATTGCTAAATGTAGTAGTCTGATCATGACACTCAGTAAATGTCTTTTTAAAAATAAAAAGTGAAATAAAATTTAATGCTACAGAAGGTGAAGAGAAATTAAATTCACTGATCCCTTTTCACCACTCCTGCTTCTCAGACATAAACATTTTAATAGTTTTTTTGGTATCTTTCCACATTATTATTTAAAAAGCAGATGTCGATGACTATTAAAACAGAATTCTAGTATATAAACTTTTTTTTAATAATTAGTATAGTATTTGGGGAGCTCTGGTGGCCTAGTGGCAAGGAGCTGCAACTACAATTCCAGAGGCGCACGGTTCGAATCCACCAGATGCTCTGCCGGGGAAGGAGGAACAATCTCCTCCTGTACCAGTCAGATCTGATTTGATGGTACACGCACACAAAAATTTAAAAAGGGGAAAAAAAAATAATTAGTATAGTATTTGTAGTAAAATTCTTTATATCTTTGAGAGGCTCTTGTAAAGAGTTCACCCTTTAGGAAAAAACAAACTTTAATTATTCCTTTCATGTGTTTTGTGATTTTATGATTTCTTTGTAGCCTATTGAAAATGTCCAAATTCATATTAAAAATGAAACTTGACTATGATTCCTTTCAGGATACTTCCAGTACTACTGGCTCCCATAAAACAGAGCAGCGGAATGCTGACCTTCTAGGGGATGAAACGTCACGACTTTTTGTCAAGAAGACTATAGTAGTGGGCAATGTGTCCAAGTGAGTATGTGGTTGGACTGTCTCTTGGGCAGTCGCTCATTTCTGTGAAGAGTTTGGCATACATATTCCTTTTTTCCTTGTTGTGTACTATCAAATTGGATCCAACTGGCACAAGAGGAGATTGCCCCTCCTCCAGCAGATCATTGGCGGACTCAAACTGTGCACCTTAAGGATTGCAGCACAGCTTCTTGCCACTAGGCCACCAGAGCTCCCTGGCATACATACTCTTGGTATCACAGTATTACAGTACAAGCAGAGGCCATAGGCATTCTGTTTCCTAAACTCTTTGTTATTTTGAAATTAAACTAGGTCCAGGGTGTCTCCTAGGATAATCTTGAGGGATAAATAGTAAGCAAAGCCAGTGTTTGAGTTTAGGTCTCTGGTTTTCCATGTGATGTCATTTAGTGCCTGCTGCCTCTGATGCTGTCTTGACAGCTTTCCTTCCCTAGTGCTAACATTCACTCACTTGCTCCTGGGTAGGCAGCTGCAGAGTGATCTTACACTTTGCATATTAAATAGAAGTTAAAAATATTTTTTAATCATTTCATGGATAGTTTATACAAGGTGCTAATAATTGGTTTATTTGCAAACCAGTGAAAATGGTAAATTTTCAGATAAGGAACTCAAATCTATCCAAAGACTTAAGGGTTTTTGCCCCCAGAGTTGACAATTTTTTACTTGCCATTTATTTGTAATGGCAAATGTGGGTTTTTGTTTTTTGGGTTTTTTTTAACTCTTAATAAACAAATATAGAAAGTGTTGAAATGTTGAAGACTGTCTCAGGAGCAAGACATCTTATGTGACTGTTCAGCATTCTACTTGAAGATCTTAGGAAACAAATGTAGTCAGCGAAGAGTAAAAAGTCCAAGAATTAACAAAGAAAAAACCAAAATGTCATTAACAGATGCTAGAATTATCTAAATAGAAAGCGTGATTTTTTTTTCCAAGACATGTAAAACTTTATAATCTTCCATAAATGCCTCACCCCCTGACCTCCCAAAATGTGGAATGCCACCCAAATTTGCTTGTCATCCCTGTGCAGAAACCATGCTAATCTTCTCTACATGGTTCCAGATTTAGTATGTGTGCTGCCAAAGTGAGCACAGAAAACAGTTTGAAGAATGGCCCTTGTACCATAATACACACAATACAAATGATTTCATAAAAGAAGTGTAGACTCTTCAGAAGAGAAATGATAAAACTTAAAACGGATGATGGTAAAGGACTGAATCATTCAAGCAGTATACCATATTTTTGGCTAGTAGGGCTAAGTATTGTAAAGGTGCATCTTCTCCCCACATTGATCAGGAGACATCTCAGTTAAAAGTACCAAGAGAATTTATGAAACTTGACAAACTGATTCTTAAATATACGTGAAAGAAAAAAAAATTTATGTGGAAGAGCAGATACATAAATTGGCCGTGGAACACTCCTGGTGTGCAACTAGATAGAGACTCTTGGCCTACCACATTTTTAAAAAGGTAATTGTTGGCACAGAGAAGACTGTGGCCATATTTTACACCAGAGTATAAGAAAGTAGCATCTCTTAGGAACCTCTTATGAAAAAAAAAGCAGGACCAGTAGTAGAGAGGGCTAACCCATCCTTCCATTCCCCTCTCTTCCAAGCAAATAACACCCCCACCGCCCCAAAACTGACAGACTCTTTACCATAAAGAGTCCAACTTAATTGCAGTCTCATAGGTCTGAGTAGAATTGTCTCATGGTTTGCAAAGGTGTCATCTTTTCAGAAGCAGACTACCATATCTTCTCTCCCTCAGTGATTTAAAACCTTTGGCCTGAAGGTACTAGTTACGTCATTGTCAGGACTTAAGGGGAATGGCCTGTTTTGTCTTGCAAACCGGAACTCAGCTGCCACCTTCCTGGAGTCATATGGTTGTACCAGAAGACCCCAGAGTTCTGGCTCCTGGAAGTCTGAATAATATCTTAAAAGCTAGAGGCTCTGTAATCCAGGAATAATATATGCCAGTTTATGTCTGCCTCAGGTACTCCCTTGGCAGAAGAAGCAAGCTTGATATACTTTTTTAATTGGAGGCTAATAATTCATAAAAAATAATAAAAGCAAACTGAAGATCCCATTCATCAGTTTTATCCTTTCCAGATTATGCATTTCTTGACTGTATTTGGCAGTCTCTTTATACCATAGACTAGGCCATCTAAGCTTGATCCCAGTTTGCCTCTGATGAACTTTATGATTTTGGGTTTTACTCCCAGGTCTCTGATCTACCTTGAGTTGATTTTTGGGTACGATGTGAGATGTGGATCCTGTTTCAGCTTTCTGCAAGTAGCAGTCCAGCTTTGCCAGCACCATTTGTTGAAGAGTTGTCGTTAAATCCCTGTGCATACCAAAAACTTTTTCCAACAGAATGAAAAGCAAACCTACTGACTGGGAATAAACATTTGGCAATACAATTTTCAGACAAGGGCCTCATATTTTACAGAATGCTACAGGGCCTCCACAGAAAAAGACTGATAACACAATTACAAAATGGGCACAAGACATGGAAGAGTTTTCACAGAGGAATATAATCAGATGGCAATCAGACCCATGAAGAAATGCTCCAAATCACTGGCAATAAGAGATGCAAATCAAAACCACAATGAGATACCATCTTACTCCAGTATCAGTGGCAGAGTTTAACAGGACAGCAAGTAATAAAATAAATGTTGGAGAAGGTGTGGTGAGATAGGAACTCTTATACATGTTGATGGGCTTATAAAATAGTACAGCCACTCTGGAAAGCAGTTTGGTGTTTCCTCAGAATGCTGAACCTGGAAATCCCAAATGACGTAGCTATTCCATTGCTTGGAATATACCTGGAGAAAGTGAGAACTGAGGTGCGAACTTGTACATCAGTATTCATAGCAGTGTTAGTCACCATTGTAAAAACATGCAAACAGCGTAAATGTCCAACCACAATTGAATGGATTGAAAAATTATGGTACTTAGACACAATGAGATACTACACAGCACACAGGAACAATGATTTTGTAAATTACTACTTGGTAGGGACTGGAGAGCATTATACTAAGTGAACTAACTCAATTCCTTAAGGACATATACTGTTTAGACTATTAATGTAGAATGAAAATTTCAGGGAGAGGGGGTGTGTGTGTGTGTGTGTGTGTGTGTGTGTGTGTGTTAGTTAAGGGTGGGAGCAGAGTAGTGAGGATGGGCTGGGGGTGGTAGTGTGGTTACTCAAAGGGTCATGTGGCAAGATCTGGTGGCCTACTGGCAAGAAGCTGCATTGCAATCCTATAGATGAGTGGTTTGAATTCACCAGATACTCTGCAGAAGAAGGAGGGACAAGCTCATTCTGTACCAGGCAGATCTGATTTGACAGTACACACACAAAATAATTTTTTTTTTAAAAAAAAGGGTCACACAGTTTGATGGGTGGAGGAAGGGGTGAGATTCAGTGTGAAAACAATGTATGTGAGCTTTTCAGTAAACCAGTTTCATTCAATAAATATTAAAAAACAAAACAGACTGAAAGAGAATCCTCTTAGATCACTGCTTTCCACAGAAAGAAAAGAAAAAGATTAATTGTAGAGATATTTTTGGTTAGGCAGTAGGATTGTTAAATGTTGCTGGAGTCTAAATCTCTCTTTTTTTTTAAATGATTTTTTAAAATTTTTATTGTATTATTTTTTATGTGTACCGTCAAATCAGATCTGACTGGTATAGGAGGAGATTGCCCCCTCCTTCTCCAGCAGAGCATCTGGAAAATCTCTCTTTTTTAAAAAAAAAAAAAAAAAAAGTATTTTAGAGTTTAGAAGGAAAAAGAAAATTTAGATTCATTCCCCCCCCCCCCTTTTAGGTATATACCTCCAGATAAAAGGGAAGAAAATGACCAGTCAACACATAAGTGGATGGTGTATGTCCGAGGGTCTCGTAGAGAACCCAGCATTAATCATTTTGTCAAGAAAGTTTGGTTCTTCCTTCATCCCAGCTACAAGCCAAATGACCTCGTGGAAGTTAGGTAAGCACATTTGAGTTATTTAAGAAGTACAGATTTATTGAAGTAGAAGCAGAGTGAATTTAACTGGAATCATTTAGATTATCAGTAATCCATTGTTATTTGGCTACTAGGTATAGTATAATTTTAAACTCTAGTTCTCTATTGTAGAATACTTAAAATGTTGAAATCTTAACATTTTAGAAATATATAATTCTGTGGATGCCCCATGATCTGTCTCATCATTTTAGAAGTAAACTTTAATGATACTATTTTCTGTATATACTAACCTTATATTAGGATTTCACAAAAATGGGATGATGTGTTTTGAAATGTGCTTGGCAGTATATTCTGGATGTCTTTATTTGGTATCACGTGGTAGTGTAGTGGACTACATTAGCTGCTAACTGAGAAGTTGGTGGTTCAAATCCATCAGCCCCTCCATGGACAAAATGAACTGTTTGCTCCTGTAAAGATTTGCAGCCTCAGAAACCCAGAGGAGGATCTCCATAAATCAAAATCAACTCTATAGAGGGTACACTTGGTTTTATCCTAAGTTAATTCGTCTTAGGACTGTTCTGTGGAAGTGGTGGTGGTGTTGAGGTGCCATCAGGCTGGTGGAGATTCCTGCTCCTCACGATCGTTGCTGTGTTCAACCTGTTGTTGATTGGCCATCCTTCTAACCTGACAGGTTCATCTTCCTGTACTGCATTAGCTAATCAGTCAGTATCTCACTGACAGCCATATTCACTGGCCTGTTAGTTTAGGCGTAGATCACCAGTCTTCTTCATCTGTGTTGGGCCTGGAACCTTCTCTGAAGCCTCCACCATGGGTGATCCTGCTATTTAAAATAACAGTGACAAAGATTCCAGCAACATAGAAGGCACCACTTTCAGCAAACTGATAGAAAAATAATACTGTGGGAAGTAACTATGGTTTATTTTAAATAAAGTCTTAAGTTCTTTCCTCCACTCTTCTTTAGTACTTTGCCTTCATTTCCCTCCTTTTAAGCAAATGACTGCTACTGCTGTTTTTGTAGCCCATCCAAGGGATGAATTTTTCTCTCCCATACATCACGTACCATTTATATTGGAGGTATGCAGTTGTCTTCCTTGTTTATAATTGTGGCTTCCAGACCTCTTTAACGTGCCTCAGCCTTTTTGAAGTCGGTATGATCTGCTGCACTTTGCAGCAGTAAAAATTTCTGGTGCATTCCACTCCCTTCTCCCCCTTGGAAAAGATTTAACACTCAGTTTATAGATTTTTCTCTTTACTGCTCTTCTTGCTGTCATCCTTAAGGACTTTTGCATGCATTTAGACAGTTAAGCTCAAGCCTTGGCTTCTTGATTTTCAGCACTCCCATTCCAAAGAAGAGTGACCCGAGTGTGGAAACTATAGAACAATATCAATTTCACATGCAAGCAAGATTCTACTGAAGATTATCCAAAAACAGCTGGAACAGTACATGAGCAAAGAACTGCCAGAAGTCTAGGCTAGGTTTAGAAGGGGTCATGGTACTAGGGATATTGTAGTTGATGTTAGACGGATCTTAACTGAAAGCAGGGAATACCAGAGGAATGTCTTATCTGTGTTTCATTGACTATGCAAAGGCGTTTGACTCTGTGTATCATAACAAATTGTGGCTGACTCTGAGAAGAATGGGAATCCCAGAACACTTCATCGTGCTAATGCAAAACCTATATTTGGACCAAGAGGCAGTCGTCAGAACAGAGCAAGGAAACACTGCATGGTGCAAAACTGGGAAGGATGTACACCAGGAAGGGTGTACTCCATACTTTTTCACCTGTACGCAGAACAGATATCCGGGAGGCTGGACTCTATGAGGAGAAATGTGACGTCAGGATTGGTGGAAGATCTATCAACAATCTGCGTTATGCAGATGATACAACCCTGCTTGCTGAAACTGAGGAGGACCTGAAACGCTTGCTGCAGAGGGTCAAGGACTGTAGTCTTCAATATGGATTGAGGCTCAATGTCAAGAAGACAAAGATTCTCACCACTGGCCCAATTGGCAGTATCAGGATGGATGGTGAAGAGATTGAGATTGTTAACAGCTTTAGTTTGCTTGGCTTCACAGTCAACACTCTTGGCACCAGTAACCAAGAGATTAAAAGACGTATTGCGATGGGAAAGTATGCTGATAGGGACCTCTCCGAGAAGAGCAGTGGTGTCACTCTGGAGACTAAGGTGCACCTGATCCAGGCCATAGTCTTTACAGTCACTTGCTATATGTCAGAGAGTTAGATAGTGACTAGGGAGGATAGAAGGAGAATTAATGCCTTTGAGCTGTGGTGCTGAAGAAGAGTATTGAGCGTACCATGGACTGCTAAGAAAACAAACCGATTCATCCCGGAGAGGGTTAAACTGGGATGCTCCTTGGAGGCGAGGATTCTGAGGCTTTGTGTGACATACTTTGGACATGTTGTAAGGAGGGACCAGTCCTTGGAGAGGGACATACATCATGCTTGGTAGGGTGGAGGGACAGTGCAGGAGGGGAGGGCCTTTGAGGTGGATTTATTCAGTGACTAGGGTAATCAGCATGGGTGTGTCAGAGACAGTATGATCGGCATAGGGCAGAGCAGAGTTTAGGGCTGTTGTTTATAGGGTCGCTATGGCTCGCAAGCAACTCGACAGCACATAACAACAACAATGATTAGATTATCGTAGTGCTATGCCGTGGAATCTAAACTGGGAAAAAAGAGATGTAAATTATTTAGAGCAGTGATGGGTAGTAAAAACTGATGTGGTCAAGGAATTGAAGCTCTAGTGGGTCAAAGCATGGTTGGAGTCAGTTGAACTGAACAGATAGGGTAGTTATACTTGTTCATATATAGATGAATTCTTTCTGATCACCTCAAAAAGCAGAAATTTTAAAATGAGATTTTTTTTTAATAAGCAGTATTTGTTGATAATAACCATAGAAAGTGGCTGAATTGAAGTTAAAAGTATGTTTGAATTTATTTTTGTGTATATAGAGAGTTCAGTTACCATATGTATTTTTTTCTTTGCATGACATTATTGTCCTAGTATTTGTTACCAGCTGACCTTTCCTTATATTATTACATACAGATTTTCACATAAATAGAAACTTGGTTCTGAACTTGTTATTTCTCAAGGATTCTGGCACTAGTGGTTTGACATCTGTCACATCATTTAAGACTTCTAAGGCTTCACAGTCCCCTCATCTATGAAATTATTGACATTAGAGTATATGGTGTCCAAGTCTACCTGTAGGATTCAATATTGAAAGTTCAATATAGATTGAAGTTTACGTTTTCATAATATCTTTTATCATAAACATTTTGAATGTTTAGAATATTGATTTAGCTTCAAATGTGAAAACCTTAAATTTGTCTCAGAAATGAATTTCTTATTCATTGGGAAAACCTTTTTTATCTTCAAGGTAAAAAAGTCGACATAGATAAATGTGTTAAAATTTGCTTTCTTTTAGGGAACCTCCTTTTCATCTGACTAGAAGAGGCTGGGGTGAATTTCCTGTCAGGGTTCAAGTTCACTTCAAGGACAGCCAAAATAAGAGGATAGATATCATACATAATCTGAAGGTATTGTAACAAACCATTTTTCCTTGGGTTTTAAGAGTCCCTTATAACACTTAAACCTTATGACTAGGTATATTTAGAGTATAAGACACTAAGGTATAGTAGGCCTTCTAGATAGAGTAGTTAGTTATAGTTTGAGAAGTAAAATGGATCATTTTAATGCACTATGCTTACTGGTGATTCATGGCAGATATTTCCCCTTTCATGCATGAGATTCTCAGCCAGTGTACTTCAGGCACAGCTACCTCTTGTCTGTCACTAAGCTTGTATTGTTGTGATGCTTAACAGATTTTAGCAGCTTTCAAGCGAAACCAGACTAGGAAGAAAAGTCTGGTAATCTAATTCTGCTAAGCTTGCTAATCAGTCGTCTGTCTGAATATCCTTTTACCAGCCAGACTAGTGCCCTGGGCTCGAAACAACTATGAGCCATCATTTCACCCCAGCAAGAATAGCAAAGTTCAACAGGACAGCAGACAACAAATGGCTGCTGAGTTTGTGGGTGAAACTTTTTACTCACTGCTGGTAGGAATGTATAATGGTATAGTTACTATGGAAAACAGTCTGGCACTTTCTCAAAAAGTTGAAAGTAGAAATACCATTTGACCCAGCAGTTCTACTACTGGGAATATAAAGAAACCAGAGCCACAACTCAAACAGATGTATGCATGTCCATGTTTATTGCTGCATTATTCACAAGAGCAAGGAGATGGAAACAACACAACAAATTGAATTTGTTGAAAACATCAAATGAATAGAAAAACTATGGTACTTACACACAATGGAATACTATACATCACTGAAAAACAGTGAACTCGTTAAACGTTACCCAACAGGAGCGAGCCTAGAGGACATTATGCTGAGTGAAGTATTCAGTCACAAGCACTACATAACACCGCTGTTATAAAATTGGACAAACATGGGATTGGGAAGAGACTGGGGAAAGAGTGGATAGATAATGAACACTGAATTAGAACAGATGAAGGAAGAACTGTCTGAAAGGAATATATAATTGGGCATTCTATGTATGACAAGAATCATCTGGAACAAGGGGTACATTACAGAAAGGGTTTGAGGAGGGGGAAGCAAGGGGGGAAGAAATTGTGCAACAATGAGAAAAAAAAAATTACAGATTTTAAAAAATGTTCTGGGCTGCCTTCCCTTGGGTTGGTTTTCATGCTGGTCCTCCATTTTTCAATTTCAATGAAACATTTCCTGGCTACTAAAGTTAACCTGTAGTGATCTGTATTGTGAAGTTTTTACTTCAGATAAACCTCTATTTTCTACTTATATAATAAATAGTCAGGTATTTCAAGTGCCCAGAACAGATGACGTTCTTCTATTTTGCATCTCTGGCGAGTATTTTCACCGCTGCTCAGCCTGTAGCATAAAACACAATACTTTTCAAGGCAACTCATTTAGTAAATAACCTTTTAGAAGATTCTTTGATAAATGCCATTTTTTATGTCTTAATCCCATTTGTCCTAGTTTTGATATCTTAAATAGCACAAAACAAAGACTACAAGTCTGATGTTACTCTTCCATATCTCTCTTTAAATCAGTGAATTCTCCTGGCAAAAATCTGTTCCTTCTACTATTTCTTTTAGCCAAAATTTTTCAGTTCGTCTTGATATTTTGATAACAATTCCGTTTTATAAAAGTCTCTCCTGAAATATGTTCTAAGAATAAGACATCAGCAAAAAAACCTTAACAGCATTCTGTTGAGTTGATTCTGACCCATATCGATGCTATAGAATACAATAGAACTGCCTCAGGTTTTTTAATACTGTAAATCTTTATTGAAGCAGAGTGACTTAACTTTTCCCCACAGAATGACTGGTGGATTTGAACTGTAGACCTTGTAATTCATAGTCAAATGTTTTAACCATTATATATGTAACGTCCACTGCCGTGGATTGCAAAGAATATATGCTCTGAAGAAGTGAAAATGAGTACAAGTTAAAAGTGTGTGTGTGTGAGAGAGAGAGAGAGAGAGGGGAGTGTGTGTTTTCTGGAAGGCGGGGGTGTGTGTGTGTGTGAGAGAGAGAGAGAGAGAGAGAGAGAAAGAGAGTATGTGAGTGTGTTTTCTGAAGGCTTACCAAGACCTAGCTTCTCATTCAACAATCTCTACATAGTCCACAGTATATGAACTGCCTCACCTTTGTTTTAAAGTGATTGTTTATCATTTGGTCTTGCATAGGTGATTTTCTTTTCCTTTTATTTTTTTTTTCCTTCTTTTGCATCTTCTTGTTTTCTGTCCTTTTTTTTAAAATTGAGATTTTATTGTAAGTTTATAAAGAACTTGATTTCCATTCTTTCACTATTGCGCCTTTTCCTCCCTGCCTTCTTTCCCCTCCCAATTCTCTTTTTTATTTAGGAAAAAAAATTTCTTTCATTGTTATACATTGTTATACACCCAGACCACTTTATTATGCAGTTCTTATTCTAGACTATGTCATACCAATAATGCACAGGTGATTTTCTAAAGGAGCACTTACTGGTGGTGGTGATTATTTTTTGAGCCTGTTTGTTCTCTAGCTATAAAGTGACTGCAGATTCATTTTGATTCAAGGCTTGGATGTCTCAGGGAGAGCTACAGAATTAACCAGCCTAGTAAGGTTTTTTGGTTTGATTTTCAAGGAAATAGAAGTTTAATTCCACATTTCTCCCTCCATTCTGTCAGGATTCCTTCATAATCTAATAATTCTAACTAATAAATTCTTATTTACATTACTAACATTCCATCAGCATTTATGCTCCTTTATTCTAAAACACCATCTGTGATACTACTATCCTTAAAGTAATTAGTGCTACCTGAGGAGTCTGGTGGTCCAGTGGTAAAGGAGTTGCCTTGTCATTCCAGAGGTGCATGGTTTGAATCCACCAGCTGCTACATGGGAGCTGCTCCTTCTGTGGGATTTATAGTCTCTGAAAACCAGCTGGCGGGTCAGCTGTGAGTCAGTTCTGACTGGATAGAACATAACAACAAAGAGCTCTTTTTTCACAGTGGCTGCTAACCACAAAGTCAACTGTTCAGAAAATAGATAATGATACTGCTTCAATAAAAATTTACAGCCCTAAAAATCAAATAGGGCAGTTCTGCTCTTTCAAGATCATTATGAGTTGAAATAGGCTCAGTACTAAGTTTGATTTTTTCCCCCCCTTATATTGCGCATTCCACCTCCACCCCCACCCCCACCCCCCATTATCCCTACCGTTTCCTAAGATTATTTTGGTAAATACATTGCTATTATTAAGTGTTGTCAAGTTGAATCTGACCCATTGCTGACACTAGTGGATTTTCAGAGACAGTAAATCTGCAGGAGGATATTGCCCATCTTTCTTCCTTGGAGCACCTGGTGGATTCAAACCTCATGACTTTTGATTGCCAGTGCAATTCTTTAACACTGAGCCACCAGAGCTTCTTTAGTAGATAAAGCCCAAGTAAATGTATTATGATACTGCATTTTGTAATTGGGTTTTTTAATGTTTTTACTTAGTCTTTGTAAATACTATGTAAGTAGCTGGCTGCAGAGTGTATTTCACAAATTGATGGTCTATATACCATTCCTATATTGTGATGTTCCTTTTGGCTTGTGCTTGTAGATAATGCTGTAGTGATTATCTTTTATATACAATTTTTTTCCAATTTTTAGAATATCCCTAAATAGATTTTATCTCACTGGCTCCTAACAACGATAACAAGTTTATGTTAAAATGATAATAACCCAATCCATTGTTACAAGTTGATTCCAACTCCTTGCCAAACCATAGGACTAGATAGGATGGCCCCCAAAAGTGTTTCCAAGGATATCCTCTTTGTTTTAAATTAAATCATTAACAACTTTATTTCACAGTTTCCTCCCCCTCCCCTTTGCTTCACTGACATTATCTCTCATACAGTCGTAAGGATATCATCTTCACAGGAGCAGATCGCCCCGTCTTTGTCCCCTGAACCACTAGTGAGTTCAGACCGCAGACTTTTCAGTTAGTAGCTTAACATGTTAACTACAGTGCTGCTGAGCTCTTTTAAAAAATCTAATAAGTATATATAAGATTGTTTGTAGTCTTACTCCTTTTTTTTTCTCCAGAAAATTATTAATGTTTTTATTGAAGTGATGTTGGTAGTTTATAACTAAAGTAGACCTTAAGATGTAAAGTTTTGTGGTGAAAAGTTTTAGATAGGATTGTATCGAAGATTTACAAGTAAGCACGATAGACTTTGACACTCTTCCTTTTACCTTTCAACAGTTGGATAGAACATATACTGGCTTGCAGACTCTTGGAGCAGAAACAGTAAGGTTTTTCTCCCCTGTGGTATTATTTGGGAAGAAGAATGAAAATTGATATTCATTTTTAATTAGAAAACGTGATATGTGTTTGGTTTGAAAATAACCATGAATATAAGTTTTCATGGTATAGTATTAACAGTAGCTATTTGGAAGCAGGAGTGGCATCTACTTCCTAAGCAACCTGCCTCTGGAAACTCTATGAACTTTAATAAATGTCGATAATTGTAGAGGGGCTTCAGGCTTTTTGTTCATAGCGTTGCTATGAGTCATGCTCGACTCAAAGGCAATTGTCATTACACTAAATATGATAATAGCTGCTAATAATAAAATTTGTATAAAATCTGTACTGTCATATAAATATATCCTTAAATAGTAGCCTGATTAAATGTTAATCTGTCTAGGAAAGTATTCTGTGTTATGTCAGATGAGATTTAGTGAGCCTCTGCTATAGGCTAGAGGACTGGGTCCAAGGATTAAAGACGTAGAAATTAACTCTGAAGTGTTGAGAATAGGGACTTAGACAGTAACTTGTTAATTTCAGGTCCAAATAAGTACTATGAAGAATATGGGGAGAGTGAGTATGCCACATTCTGGGGCAGGATTTGGGCTTTCTGTGACATTGACAGTAGACTTATGTGCCCACTTGTTGCCCAATTGTGTAGGTAGTGGATGTTGAGCTCCATCGACATTCTCTTGGCGAAGACTACGCTTATCCTCAAGCCTCTGAATCAGATGTCTCTGATGCCCCTCCATCTTTGCCTTTAACCATTCCAGCCCCGGTGAAAGCTTCTTCGCCAGTAAAGCAGTCACATGAGCCGGCAGCAGATACCTCTGGAGAAAAAGGTAACAGAGTCGTTTCTTACATGAAGTCATTTTGGGCACTCATAACTCTGGTTTGTGTAGTGTAATATTGAACTGCTGCTCTTAGGCTTCAAATATATGGAAATGAAGTAGGCGTGTTGCTTCTACTACATAGTTTTATTATGAAAATAACTATATCCCTGTTTTGTTTAGGAAAAAAAATATTTCCAGAATGCAGAAATCACTAAAAAATAACTAGATTGTTTTTCTTTGATGATTATAATGGTTTCTTCTAATATATTAGAAGACTTTCTTGTATACCCTTATTAGGAAAACAGAAAACCTTAAGTATCTAATCTTTTTAAAAATATGACATAAATTTCATCAGCAAAAACAACTTTTAGTTTAGTATCTTTTCCCCATTTAATTAAAGTACATAATATTTAAGGATAATAACATATATAAGCTATAAGTTGTTGATAATGTGCCATTGAGTCAGAACTGATTCATAATTGATCCTTCAACAAATTTTCAGAGTCAGTCAAGTCACACTAGAAGATGGCCCATCTTTGTTTCATAGAGCAGTTGTGGATTCAAACTGTGTGCCTTTGACAGTGCAGATACTTACCACGAAGCCACCAGAGCTCCCTGTGAGCAATAAGATTGATTCTAGATGGTGTTCGTTTTCTCTCTGACTCTTTATTTGCATGTGAATTTAATAGTTCTTTAATGAAACCTCAGCTTTATTCCTCTACAAATTTCCATTGCGCTTTTTTTTTTGATCAACTGTCATTTAAACTACCTTCTTGAGAGTTTTCCCCTCAATTTTTCTAATGTTCTTTGGAGGCAAGGATTCTGAAGCTTCATCTGATATACTCTGGACATGTTGCAAGGAGGGATCAGTCCTTGGAAAGGGACGTCATGCTTGGAAGGGTGAAGGGACAGCACAGGAGGGGAAGACCCTCAATAAAATGGATTGATTCAGTGATTGGGGTAAAGGCGGTAGGTGTGTCGGAGACAATAAGATTGGCACAGGATAGAGCAAGGTTTAGGGCTGTTGTAAATAGGGTTGCTATGAGACGCAGGTGACTTAATGGCGCATAACAGCAATGTAAAAAATGAGAGAACATAGTGAATTGTGTACTTTTGTATTCTGTTTGATTTATATTTGTGGGTTTTCTAATTTGCTAATTCTGGTAATTAGAATTTTAAATTCTAATAATTAGACTTAAATAAGTATTCTGATCAGTAATTACTAATTTAATTTAATATAAATTTAGAGATGCTGCTTACTTTTTTGCTCCAAAAATGTATAAATATAGAAGAAATATTTTTTTGTATTTGTTCTACTGCTAATAAATGGTTTAAATAGATGTTTATATAATAAGGGACTCTTTTTAGGGTCCTTTTTGTTTTAAGTCTCTTTTGTGAATTGACTGAAAGTTTACAGAGCAGGTCAGTTTTCCATTTAACAGTTCCTACACATTTTAGGTAAAATTTTACCCAACAAATTGTTTTTCTGGTTAGCAATGTATACATATTTTGTTACATAGACTACAGTCCCTACTATGTAACATCACTCATCCCACTTTCCCCTTCTGTTTTCTCTTTCTGTTCTTCTTTATTAATCCTTCTTGCTGTCTGAACTTTGGCCTTGGGCCAATACTGCCCAAATTTTTACTGTGCTAGAATGTGTACCTCCCTATTGTTGAGTTCACCTTATAGACCTGCCTGTTGTTTGACCCTCCAGGCCTGACGGTGACAAAATGTCCTTCATAGTTGAGGTGGGGCTGGGTGTTTCCTCCTGTCTCTGTCAGACTAGTAAGTCTCTCTTCTTTTGTTATTATGAGTTTTGTTCCATAATATTCCCTGCCATCCAGTATCCAGTACATTTTAATGTAATTCCTTTTAGAGGGCTTGGTAGAGGTAGCCTTGCACCATCTAATTCTCTACTCAAGATCAGGGGGGCTGAGGGACATGTGGTCCGTTAGTCCTTTGAATCAGTTGCGCCCTTATGTCTTTGATTTTCTTTGCTCTTTTCTGTTCGGTACAGGAAAAGATCAATAATTCTACCTTAGATAGCGTCTCATAAACTTATATTTTTTTCCTCATGAACCTTTAAGACTCCTGTCCTTACTAACCAAAATAGGATGCAAAACATTTTCCTTGTGAGCCAGCTGACCTTGATGTCTCTGAGACTGTGGTTCTGAGGCCCCCAGGGTAGTGACTTATTCCTAGGATAAAAGGTTTTTATTGTTTCATCGTTTTTCTTAATAATATGGTTATTATTTCAAGATGACCTGTGACTTAATATTTGCCTGTTTCATTTTAACCAGGATTCCCAGCTAATAACACCGAAGCTGAGAGACATACTGCATTTTATTCTTTACCATCTTCATTGGAACGAACACCCACCAAAATCACATCTCAGAAGGTTACCTTTTGTTCTCATGGCAATTCAGCTTTCCAGCCAATAGCATCAAGCTGCAAAATTGTACCACAGAGTCAGGCTCCCAATCCTGAATCACCTGGAAAGTCTTTTCAGCCTATCACGATGAGCTGCAAGATTGTCTCAGGTATGCAAAAGAAGTATTAAAGACCATGAGTGAAATTGGCTGGATGTAGAATGCTATAATAACAAAAGCACTTTGTGAGTTTTTTGAAAGTTCTTTTAAGTGAGAATTTTTATTTGTTAGGCAAAAGAGTTCATTACCATTGGTAACTCTTCCTCAAGGATAAAATCACTCATCATCTGTATCATTCATATAAAAACAATTATTGAATGTGAGAAAGAAGTAAAATTTGAACTATAAATATTTTTAGCTCCTAGCTTTAAGTCATCACAGGTATTATTATGGTAAATAGTGGAAGCTAAAAGTGGAATTGATATGGAGTTAATCGTTTAATCTCTTTCCAAACACAGTAGAAAATCATTTATTCCTTGGTAGTATGAAGTTTGTGGGATACTTTGCCTCTTTGACAGTTCTACATTTATATTAGAAAATATTTCATGTATAAGTCTTCAGAAGCATATACTTTACGGTTTGGTTGTACTTGGTTAGAAAAGGTCATTGAAAATATCCAGGCAGCCAGAGTGCCTCAAATAAAACTTGAATGACATTGCTAAAATTAAACAAGTAAGCAGAGATCTCTTCCTAGTCATTGAAATGGAGAAGACATTTTAAAATGAAAAGGAATTTATCAGAATTGGAAGGAGTCAAGAATATCTCCTGTAAAGCTCAGAAAACTTTAAATGAGGATAAGTAGAAGTAGTGTAATTCTACCTACTGGATAATAAATGTATTTAATGCTTGCTTTCTTCAGAGATATAATAGTCGAACATAAAAATTTATTTGACATTTACAGAAGTGTTTAGCAGTACATAATTAACCTATAAGATTATGTGGACGTGTGTATCTTTTGGATTTTGGCAGTGATCTCCCGTAGACAGCTTTGTTTTAAGTAGGTCAGTTTCACATTTTCTTGTGGAGAAATTAGCTAAATCAGGACACTTGGTTCCAAAGATATAATGGAATTGTGGTGCATTGTTTGAGCACTTGGTTGTTAGAACCCACCCAAGTGACTGAGAAAAAGATGAAGCAGTCGAGTTATAAAGATTACAGTTGGGGAAGCCTTGTGGGACACTTATGCCCTACGCTGTATGGTTGCTTTGAGTCTGAAATGACTTTGACAGTAGCAAGGATTCAGAATTTGAATAAGCTACTTAGGATGATGGTGATGTATTATTTTCAAGATTCATTCATTCGACACAGTTGTACAGTGTTTGTCTAAAACCAGGAGAGCTTCTACACCAGAACTTGTAGAAATGTAGCTCCATATTCATTAGGTGTGGGGTTGGACCTGGAAAACGGCTTATAACAAGCTCTGTGTGCTGCTGCTGTTGTTAGTCCACAGGTAAGGAGACAAGGTAGCTGTGTTGCAGCTGCTCAGTACTGGAAGTTGACTCTTATGTTCCAATTCGTCATTGGCCCTGTCCTTCCTTTTTCTTCAGTGTTTTTAGATGGACTAAATGTATGGTTTTGTTCACCCTCCTCTCTCTCTCTAATTTCTAAAGGTTCCCCAATATCAACTCCAAGTCCATCACCACTGCCACGAACTCCAACTTCTACTCCAGTCCATGTGAAGCAAGGCACTGCCAGTTCTGTTATTAGCAATCCTTATGTTATCATGGACAAGCCTGGGCAGGGTATTGGTGGCACCACTCCCAGTACAGGTGTGTATTTGATCAGTATTTATGTACTTCAGAAGTTCTGCTGTTTTATTAGAGATGAAATCCTGGCCTGACTTAGGAGCCTTGCAGTGAAACAATAATGTCTGAAATAAACATGGTAGATATGTAAAATTCACCCCCATACAATTTTTTTGGAAGGGAGATTTGCTGTGTAGGGAAGTTAACTTTCTAGGAATTTCCTTTTTAATTGGTAAGAATTTAAAGTAAACCATAATTATGCAACTACAATGGAAAACATAATGACACCTTTAAAAGTTAGAGATTCCAGACCCTGAAATGGTGCTGCTGGCTGAGCACCTCCTGTGGCTGCTGCCTGTAGAAAAGCAGATCGAGACGGGGCCCTTCCTGAAGGTGGTGTCCCACCTGCTGCTCTTCTTCGATTGCCTCAGGTCCCCCCAATCTTCACTCCCATCAAGGTAAATATAAGTAGCAACATCATGAAAATCAAGGCCATGTACAGCAGCACCAGACCCCCCAAGAACATCCTAGAGGTGGAGAAAGATTAGTACAGAGCAGAGTGGTCCAAAGCTGGGGCCACCCTGGCCCTGATGTGGCTGAAGAGAGGTCTCCACTTTATGCAGGTCTTTCTGGAGAGCAGCTGTGATGGGAAGCAGGATGAGAACCACCCCAAACTCATCCACATCAACAACACCAAGGCCATGGCTGGATCTGCCAGAGCTGTAAGATGCTTCTTACAAATCTGGCTTCCTGAAGGCACTGTCCAAGTGGTAGAAATGACAGAGATCTGAGGAATGCCTGGAGAAGATCCACCTCTTCCTAGTCACTCACCTACATGGCCTCCATTGACCTCATCTGTGAGATAGGTTTATCTGAAGATGAACGCCTAGCTCAACTTTAGGATGTAGTAGTGCCTGGCGCTGACACCGCCCCCCCCCCCACTGCAGCCAGCAGGCCCACTCCCCCAGGGACACGTCTCTGCCACAGAGGCCCTTAGAACAGCCTGAGAGTATAGGGGGCTCCCTTGGCTTCAGAAAAGTCATTCTCTTGGAGCAGTAATGACCCCACTTCCACATTGCCTTTGAACCTCACAGCGGTACAGATTTTGTCTCCATTTTAGCATGGTAAACACCACTTAATGTGTATAATAAATCAAGTTCTAGGGATTTTTTAGTTGTCATTGTCTCATGCATACCCCGAGCACAGCTCTATTGGGGGTAAGGTAGACAACCCTCCAATGCCTTGTCATCCTCAGCACTAAAGAGTGCTCTGTTTTTCCAGTTGTTGGGGCAGACCTCCAAAGATTTGATGTGTATTAAGAAGAAGAAACAAACAAAAAACTGCCAATAAGAATAAATCAGTGATTTTTATGCAGAAACTAAATGATCTTTAATAAAGATATCTGTATTTTGGAATTTAAAAAGTTCGAGATACCTTATGACTCAGTAATCACTAACGGTTTCTACACAAAAAATGGAACTGTGACAAGGAGCGACGTGTAAACCCATGTTCATCGCAGCCTTATTTACAATGGCTAAAAGGTAGAACAGCCTAAGTGCCCATCAGCTGACAATGGAGATGTTAACCATGGCACATACAGAACGCACTGTAACACTAGGCAACAATAAATAATAGTGACTCTGATACATTTCAAACGTGGGTGACATGGACAACTGACAGTGACAGAAGGACTAATATTTGTGGTTCTTTTATTTTTAAGAAAGTTAAGAAAAGTTTGTATTCAGAAAGAAACTTTTGTGATTACCAAGGATGAGAGAAGGAGGGGAGATTACTAGGTAAGAACCGAAAAACCCAAACCTACTGCCATCAAGTCTGTTTGAAGTCAGAGTGACCCTCCATTGAATTTCTGGAGCTGTAAATCCTTATGGAATTAGACTGCTGGTATTTCCAGACATTGATTAGCAGCCAGATAGCCCACCAGCGCTCCCTAACTAATAGAAATGTTTTAACTTGTGTAAAGGGAAAGGTTGTGCACAGTGAGGGAGGTCACTACAACATAAGGAAGGCCTGGGAGACAGGGAGACAAGAATAAAAGACAGCAGGAATACCATCACAGCCACAGGACTGTGGTAAGATAACTTAGGAGTGGATACATAGATTTGTCAGTCGATCAGATGTTGAATGGCATATGGAGCATGCGTCCATTTGACAGACTATTTCTGCATATGTACTGGGATGTTACCTAGGTGAATTAATAGATCCTTCATTCTACTTTAATGAGTAGCTCAAACTCTCAGGCCCATACTCACTGCTATCGAGTCATTTGTGACTCCCAGCTGGCCTCCATCGGGTGTCCAGGGCTGTGAATCCTGACAGGTTAAAAAGTTCATGAGTGACTGACATAGAACAATTGCTCTTTCCCCATCCTGAACACAGAAAAAGGAAGACAGTTAAACATTCAAGGAAACAGTTGGTCCAGAGGACTAATGGTCTACATAACCCTCAGCCTCCACCAGTACGGGACCACAAGATCTATGTGGTACCTCTCTACCACTATTGAGTGCTCAGATTAGGGTCATAGTGGAAAGTCTTAAACCTAACGGAACAAAAACAATAATGGAGAATCCAGGGAAGACATTGCAAACATGTCGTTAGCATCAAGGACATTGCAACTAATGTCACAAAACAGTATGGGTAAATAGTTGAAGGGAGGATTTAATGAATTTTCATTCAGCGTTTCTTAAGCTCAAGGAACTCAAGAACAAATTCAAACCTCAAGTTGCTATAACTAAAGGTGCTTTAGGCAGAGTATTAAATGATCCAGGAAGTATTAAAAGAAGATGGAAAGAATATACCGAGTCACTGTATCAAAAGGAATTGGCAGAAACAGAAGAATTTAATGAAATAACATAGAAGCAAGAGCCTATGGTGATGAAGGAAAACGTTCAAGCTGCTTTGAAGGAAATAGCAAAAAATAAGGTCCCAGGAATAGATGGTATACCAATTGATGTTTTTCAGCTAATGCCTGGATGTGCTCACCAAGTTGTGCCAAGAAATCTGGAGAACAACCACTTGGCCAACTGACTGGAAGAGATCTATATTTATTCCCATTCCAAAGAAGGGTGACCCAACAGAGTGTGAAAACTATAGAACAATCTCACTGATTTCACATGCAAGCAAGATTCATTCTACTGAAGATTATCCAAAAACGACTGGAACAGTACATCAGCAGAGAACTGCCAGAAGTCCAGGCTGAGTTTAGAAGGGGTCGTGATACTAGGGATATTGTAGCTAATGTTAGATGGATATTAGCTGAAAGCAGGGAATACCAGAAGAATGTGTATTTGTGTTTCATTGATTATGCAAAGGCGTTTGACTGTGGATCATAACAAACTGTGGCTGACTCTGAGAAGAATGGGAATCACAGAACACTTGATCGTTCTAATGCGAAACCTGTACTTGGACCACGAGGCAGTTGTCAGAACAGAGCAAGGAAACACTGCATTGTTCAAAATTGGGAAAGGTGTACACCAGGGATATGTCCTATCTCCATACCTTTTCAACCTGTATGCAGAACAGATTATCTGAAAGGCTGGGCTCTGTGAGGAGAAGTATAGCGTCAGGATTGGTGGAAGATCTGTCAACAATCTGCGTTGTGCAGATGATACAACCTTGCTTGCTGAAACTGAGGAGGACCTGAAATGCTTGCTGCAGAGGGTCAAGGGCTGTAGCCTTCAGTATGGATTGAGGCTCAATGTCAAGAAGACAAAGATTCTCACCACTGGCCAATTGGCAGCATCAGGATGAATGGTGAAGAGATTGAGATTGTTAACAACTTTAGTCTGCTTGGCTCCACAGTCAGCACTCTTGCTACCAGTAACCAGGAAATCAAAAAACGTCTTGCGATGGGAAAGGCTGCTGTTAAGGACCTCTCCAAAGTACTGAAGAGCAGTGGTGTCACTCTGGAGACTAAGGTGCATCTGATACAGGCTGTGGTCTTTGTAATCACTTGTTAATGCATCAGAGAGTTGGACAATGACTAGGGAGGATAGAAGAAGAATTGATGCCTTTGAGCTGTGGTGCTGGAGAAAGTATTGACTATACCATGGACTGCCAAGAAAACAAAAATTCATCCTAGAGAGGGTTAAACCAGGCTGCTTCTTGGAGGCAAGGATTCTGGGGCTTCGTCTGACATACTTTGGACATGTTGTAAGGAGGGACCAGTCCTTGGAGAGGGACATCATGCTTGGGAGGGTGGAGGGACAGCGCAGGAGGGGAAGACCCTCTATGAGGTGGATTGATTCAGTGACTGGGGTAATCAGGATGGGTGTGTTAGAGGCAGTGCGATTGGCACAGGATAGGGCAGGGTTTAGGGCTGTTGTACATAGAGTCGCTATGAGTCGCAAGCGATTTGACAGCACATAACAACAACAATCAGAAATATTTTCTAGCTTACAGTATTTCGCTTGAGACTTTTTTTCCACACCTGCAAGCAATATAAACAGCTTTTCAGAAGTGAACAGGAATACCTTTGCAAGCCATACTCATTTCTGCAAAGTCAAATAAAAAAGTTATCTTCTCTCTGTGAGAAATCGAAGCTACCCTTGTAAAAAAGAGCACTCCTAGGAAGAAGAGTATACTTTTTATTCACTCTGTCATAATTCCACACAACTTCTTGTGCTTTTCAGTTTTTTTAAGAATGTTGCACTCATTTTTCTTTTGATCAACCTCCGTATTTAAAAACATGCCCCTAAGTGTAAACTTTTCTGTAAATTTCAATCTTAACTAAGAAAAGTAGTAAAATATAAATAAGAGTGTAAGATAATTAGATTGATTTTTTTTATAAAAAGACCTTAAAAAAATGACCTTGTATTTAGTATTTGTGAATGAATGTTGGACATTTTCAAATAGTAATTTGTGAAACTTCTTTAAAATATACTGCTTTCAAGTGGTCTTGGCAAAATTGGAAAACTATCTGCAGAAGACTCAAGATCCACGCCTCACTCCATATACAAAAACCAACTCTGGGTGGATCGTGAACCTAGGACTAAAACCAAGGACTATAGACTTCACTAAAGAGAAGCTTGGAAGAACTCTAGAAGTCCTAATTCATAACATAAACAGTCTTCCAAGTATCCTGAAAAATCTACAACCAGGAGAAGATAAAATAGATGAATGGGACCTTCTAAGAATCACATCCCTATGCACATCCAAAAACTTCTCCAACAGGGTAAAAAGGGAAGCCACAGACTGGGAAAAAGTATTTGGTAATGACATATCAGATAACGGACTTATATCCAGGATTCATAAAATACTTGAGCACCACAACAAGATAAAGGTAAACAATCCAATTTAAAAATGGGCACAGGATATGAACAGACATTTCACCAAAGAAGATATTCAGATGGCCAACAAGCTCATGAAGAAATGTTCAAAAGTCCTAGCTCTAAGAGAGATGCAAATCAAAACAGCTATGAGATATCATCTCACCCCAGTAAGAATAGCAAAATTTAACAGAAGAGCAGGTAACAATGCTGGCGAGGTTGTGGATAAACTGGAACACTTACTCACTGTTGGTGGAAGTGTAAAATGGTGCAACCACTGTGGAAGGTGGTGTGACACTTTCTCAAAAAGTTGCAAATAGAGATACCATTTGACCCAGCAATTCCACTGCTGGGATTATACCCCAAAGAGACCATAACTGCCACCCAAACAGATATATGCACACTCATGTTTATCGTGGCTTTGTTCACAATAGCAAGGAGTTGGAAACAACCTAAGTGCCCATCAACAAACGAATGGATAGAGAAGCTGTGGTATATTCACACAGTGGAATACTACACTGCATTGAAAAATAAGGAACCTCAAGCAATATTATTCAAAATGAGTGACCCTGAAGGACATTATGCTAAGTGAAGTATCTCAGTTACAAAAGGACAAATACTGCATTATTCCACTGTTGGAAAACGGACTGACATCGGGTTTGGGGGGAGACTGAGAAAGATGGAATAAATAATGTATATTGCATTGAAACAGATGAGGGAGAAAACGATTTAAAAGGGCTATGTGATTAGGTATTATTGTCATTACAGGAGTCCAGAATGAAGGTTGCATATTGGAGTGGACTTGGGGGGAAGGATTGTATAACAATGAAAGAATTTTTCTTTTTCTTTTCAAAGAGAAGAGCGAATTGAGGAGAGGGAGAGGTGGGCAGGGAGAAAAGTGCAATAATGAATGAATGAATGAATGGAAATCCAAAGTCTCTGTAAACTTTCATTAAAATTAATAATAATTTTTTTAAAAAAACACTATACTCCTTTCAGAACTTACTTAATAATCATTTGAAGATACTATGTCCTAAAAGTTGTTTAACTGATGAGTGGAGGACTATTTGATGAATAGAGTTGTAAATGCTGGAAGTGGTGCCACTTTATATTGAAACTATTTTGAAGGCACTAACATTCATGTTAATGCATGTTTGGGCATATTTATTAACTGACTAAATGCTGTTATTCTACAGTGATTCATAAAAGAAGCAATTGTGTGTGTGTGTGTATTCTGTATCTTTCATTATTTTTCTACATGTAAGAACAGAATAGTTTCAGGATTATGAGATTCCTCCTTAAAAATGACAGGTGGTACGGTACACACAGAAAAAATAATAAATTTTTTTAAAAAGTAAAAAAAAGAAAAGACAGGTGTATACACCGAAAAGGAGGAGGATGGTAGGAACTGTTTTGAACTTCTGCTTTGTAAATTTCCCTTAGTTAATGCCTTAAAGTTAAATCTGCCTGCCTTCTCAGGAAGTCCTACAAGCAAGCTCTCCGTAGCCTCCCAGGCCTCCCAAGGAACAGGTTCACCTATTCCTAAAATTCATGGAAGTGGTTTTGTAACATCTACTGTCAAGGTAACTCTCTTACTGTGTTATTGCACTTGGCTAGTTTCTGAAGACATTCTGTTCAAGAAATTGTCGCTTGATAAAATATTATTCAAGCTAATAATTATCTGAGGATCATACACTTCAGACTTCCCTTATCTGGTCTTTGATCTTTTTTCCTAGTGTAGAAATGCTTCTCAGCACTTCTGTCAGATGATCACTTAGCATCTATTTGAAAATTTAACGAGATAAAGACAACTAAAGACATAACCATCTTTATAAAAGCTTTGTTAGAATTTTTTCAATATATGAAAAATCCTCAGTCCTATTACCTAACAAGAATTAAATGTATTTTCTTTTTTACAGTCAGCCTATTGATTCAGGGAGATAATTCTTATGTCTCTGCTAAATTATTTTTTTCTCTTCTCCTTCATTAAAAGCAACTTTAGTTACTATTGAAATCTAAAAGTTCAAAAGTGATCTGATTTGTTCAGAATATATTGCTGGATACCTTCTTGGCAGAGATGCCTGATGTTTGCTCAGTTATTTAGCTTGCTTTTTCATGGCTGCCTAGGTCTAAAGCCTTTCAGGTGTAAACAGTCTCAGAATCTCTCTGAATGTAAGAATAAATTTCTTTTATATGATTAGAATATGACATAGCATTTCTTATAGATACTTGATAGTGCTGGTATTCAGTGGTTTCCTAGTCCAAAGCAAGATTTTCTTTCTCTTAGTTTGTAGCTCTCTCTGAACACCATGTAGGTGAATGACGGAACTTTAATAATTCCCTTCAATGTCTTAACTCTTCTGCTGGACTATTTATTTTCTTTTATATTGGTTTGCTTATGAAGTTCATATATATTATGTTTTATACTATCTGCCAGTCTATTTTTAATGTTCATTGATGATCTCTTCATTACGTAGTCAAACAGTTTTCTTTTTGCTCTGGCATTTATTTATGACAGAATACCTCTGAGATTTCTACTTTTTAATTTGAGAATTAGATAAACTAACAATTTAATTGTTGTAGCTTTTGCATCTGCTAATTGTGCAGGTTTTTTTTATTGTTGTTTGGCCTTTTTGTTATCTACAGTTCGTGCTGAATAATTTCCCACTGGATATTTATTCAGAGTAAAGTTTATAAATTTGTGAATGCTGCTAATAGAAAATATATACGGACATCTTGCGGCTACTTTTTCATTAGTTTATTTATTTAATGCATCTGAAGATAGAAAGGCCACTCTGGTGGCCTTGTGATAGGGAACTACTCTGCCAGCCCAAAAGCAGCGCAGCTCAGATCCAGCAGCTGCCCAGCAGAGAAATGATGAGCCATCTCTCCTGCACTTTACGGCCGCTGAAAACGCAGCGAGGGCCCGCTGTGAATCAGCTCAGACACCACAGCACATAACAGCAACAAAACAAAGGATATAAAAGGAATAAATGCATTTTTTGCCCTCACCATATTAGAGGTAGTATGAAAGAAGCAATTCAAGGTTGCAGTAGGATACAGGTAGTAGGTACTTAACAGATTTTAGCCTGCCTTTGCATTTGGCTTCTAAAAGGTAAATACAGAGGCTTGAAAGATGCCAAAGAGTTTTGTTTAGTGGGGGGTTTTTTGGGGGGTAGCGGTGGTTGTTTTTTTTTAAAAAAATTTGTGTTGCTATATGTTGCTAAAATATCACAGATCTGTAGTAAATACAAGTGACTGTGAGATCTGTTATCACTGAATTTTCTCCTAATTGTGTGATGTGTATTTTTACACACATAGCAGGAAGATTCTTTGTTTGCATCTATGCCACCTCTTTGCCCAATTGGAAGTCACCCTAAGGTTCAAAGCCCCAAACCTATAACGGGAGGACTTGGAGCTTTCACAAAGGTAAGTATTTCAGAGGATTGTTTCTGGAATCTGTGTGGGCTTGTTAACATACTCATTTTTGTGACGGTTTGGAGCTAGTTAACATTACCCCAATAACATACACCTTTTTAAATATATTTCAGCTACATGGTGAGATCTTTTTTTCAGAGCTTTTCATCTATTTAATCCCTTTGGAATCTAACAGGAAGGGCATTTGAGAGAGCATAGTCTGTGTTTTTATCTAGTGCTCTGTTGCTACTGATACAGAAAAGAAATTATTAGATAACACTGACAGATTAATAAGGTCAAGTTAAGTCCTACTTTTGAACCCTTTGAGCCAAAGGCCATGCCTCTGGCAGTTCCACTTTACCAACAGCTCCACAGGAGAAAGATGGAAAATCTCTTCTTGTGCAGTTTAGAAACTCATTAACCCCATGGAATGATCAACGCTGAGTTGGTTTCAGCTCGATACCAATGGGTTTTTTAAAGTCCTTTATAAGTCACATGGTTCAAACCTACCAGATATTCCAGGAGAAGGATAGGTAGTCTATTACTCTGTGACTTACGGCTTTGAAAACCCACTGGAGGGTCACCCATAGGTTGGTTTCAACTCAGCAACAAACAGCAACATTAATTAAACTACAGACTATTATTTAAACCTACTTTAGTCATTTACCTTCCAGGTATCATAATTCAGTACTTCTGCAAACAGGGTAGGATTAGTAGCTGTTTTTCGTGGAATGTTTGTTCAGTGTCATCTTTATGTTCCTTGTAAGGTGATCATTAAACAGGAACCTGGTGAAGCCCCCCACGTGGCCACGTCAGGAGCTGCCAGCCAGTCACCACTCCCCCAGTACGTGACTGTGAAAGGGGGTCATGTAATCGCTGTGTCGCCACAAAAGCAGGTCCTAACTGCTGGAGAAGGGTCTGCCCAGTCTCCAAAGATTCAACCCTCCAAGGTAGGTTTCATGCAGGGATGGGAGTTTCGGCATGTCAGTAGGCATTGTTTGCCTAAGAAATTTCCAAGTGCTGGAAGGATTGGGGCCAGCAGGGTAGCTGATCCTCAGAAAGCGTGTAGGTGAAAGCCCAGATGCAAATGCGAAGTGTTAAGTCTTTCTTTTCTTGTAGTAATCATTGACCAGAGCAGGGTGTGTGTCATAGAGGGTCCAGGAATAGTTCAAAAGGTGAAGAGACACTGTTGTCATCTCTTTGGGAGTAAAGGTGATTGGTTTGATGGACACAGCTTTGCACTTGATTGATACAAGTGAGTGACACGACTGAAGTCTGCTGTTTCACTGGTTTATTTCTGGTTTATTTTATATACATCCCTGAGATCCAGGCATTATGGTATAGATAATGATTCTTGGCTTTTTATAGCATTTATTTTCCTTCTAATTTAGGGGCTATAGGAAAACTATTGGGAGAACAAAAGCAGTACATAAATCTGTGTTTTCCTGCATCAATAAGAAATAGTAACTAGTGTTTTTAATTTTACGCTCTTATTTACACATTATAATACTCAAAACAACCCCACAAAGTCTTTTGACCCTCATTTTACAAATAAAGAAACTAGCTCAGAGAAGTTAAGCAAATTCCTTAGGTAAATAGCTAATAAATAGAGAGAATTTGAACTTAGATCAGCTGGTTCCCAAATTCCCCATCCCAGCTCTAATGAGAATTTGTGAGCCACTGTCTTTATCCTAAGCATGCTTTTTGACCATCCAAAAATAAACCTTCATTTTTTTTTAAATTATTAAATTTTATTCGTTTTAGTGAACATTTACAGAGATTTTGGGTTTTCATTCATTCATTGTTGCATTGTTTTCTCTACCCTCCTCCCCAGTTCGTTCTTCTTCCCCGCCTGGTTTTTTTGTTTTGGTTTTTTTTTTGCTTTTTTTTAAAATTTAGGTTGTTTATTTTTCATTTCAGTGAACATCTACAGAGATTTTGGAATTCCATTCATTCATTGTTGCACCCTTCTCCCCGCACAAACCCCTCCCCCCCTTCAACAAACGAATGGGTAGAGAAGTTGTGGTATATTCGCACAATGGAATACTATGCTGCATTGAAAAACAAGGAACTCATGCAATATTATTCAAAATGGGTGACCCTGGAGGACATTATGCTGAGTGAGGTATCTCAGTCACAAAGGGACAAGGAAAGCTTCATTTTTTAAAGTACATTTTCTCTGAAACTACTTGCAACCTGAAGGTCATCCTTGTTTTGGAAGAGGAAGAATTTTTTTCTTGTTGTTTTAAGTGCTTTGGTTAGTATGAATAACTAGCAAATATTGAGATAAAAATTTACAGTATAAAGGTGGCTCTGAAATCACTTAAGAGTCCTGAACATTTCTCACAAACTCACTTAATTATAAGAATCATTAAGAATCATTTGATGATTAAAAATTACAGATACCTTGAAACCCCTTCCTAAGGTAAGTAAATCAGAATCGTTTTGTAAGGCTCTGCAAATCTGGACTTTTAACATATTCAGCAGGTGATTTCATGCAGTTAGACAAAATAATCATCATCTTCTTAAGGCTTCCATAGCCAGGATCATTAAGATTTATATCCGTAACTGCTTCCTAATGCTGTCTGTCTGGCCTCACAGGTAACACCATTCTTCAAAACTATGTAGTGAGTCATTGTTATCTGGGCTTCCTAAAATCTTTTTAGCATTACCTAAACATAGATGGAGGGAGCTCTGGTGCCTTAGTGGTAGAGTTCAAATCCACCAACTGCTCTGCAAGAGGAAGATGGGCAGTCTTTTCCTGCGCAGCTTACAATTTCTGAAAACCTGCTGGAGGGTCAGCTATGAGTTGCTTTTATTTCCACAGTACATAACAGTAAACACGATGGTTTAGGGTTGCAGTCAGTCTAGCATTGCTGTTTGCTCACAGATGTTCTGAAGAAGTTAGCTGACATTGAGTAGGTTCCGGCTCACAGCTGCCCTCCATACAACAGAATGAAGCACTGATTCTGCTCCTTGCGCCTCCTCACACTTACTGCTGTGTTTGAACCGACTGTTAGGGCTATGCTCTCAGTCTGTCTCATGGAAAAGCATCTTCTTTTTCAAGGATCCATTGCTTTACCAGATGTGATAACCCTTCTTCAGGGACTGGTACCTCTGGTAATAGGTGTGAATTTCATGGGAGAAAGCCTCACCATCCTTACTTCTGAGGAGCACGCTGGCTGTATTTCTTTCAAGACACGTGTTCATTTGCTTGACAGTCCTGCTGTACTCAGTATTCACCAGTCCCATCATTAAAAGGCATTGATTCTCCTTCAGTCTTCCCTGTGCATTATCCAGGGTTTGCATGCATAAGAGGCAATTGAACTTACCATGGCTTATCAAGTACACCCTAATCCTCAAGAGGGATGGCTTTGTGTTGTTGTTTTTTTTTAATTTTTTGTTTTTTAATGTTTCAATAGCTTGAAAAGTATCATTTCTAGGCATTCATAGTTGTTCAAATAAATGGCTTTGATTTTGAACAAGTCGATGTCTCTGATGCAGTAAGTAGTTTGAGTTTTGACCGTTGGTTCTATGGGTTTTGATCCTGAATCTGAGTAAAAAGAAATCCTTGAAAACAATAATCTTTTCTTGATTGTGATGTTGCTTATCAGTCTCTTAGTGTGGATTTTTGTTTGTGTTGAGACATAATCTCTACTTGCAGGCTGTAATCTTTGATCATGAGCATTTCAAATCCTCTGTGTTTTCAGCAAGAAAAGTTTTGTTATTTGTATATTGAATGATGCTGATGAGATTTTCTCCATTCCCAATACTGGATGCTTCTCTATACACTCCATGTAGTTTATCAGTTAGTTGCTCAATATTCAGACTGAATAAATACAGAAAAAGAAACAACTCTGCCATCTACCTCTCTTGAACACACACCATTCTTAATTTTAAATCCTGTGGTTCATCCCTTGTTTGAATGACTCCTTGTGGACTTTGTATTGCTTCCATTTGAGCACAGTTAAGTTTTTGAAATTTTGATTCTTCACAGTGTTCTCTGTAATTTATTACAGTCATGGTTTGGCTTTGCTGCTTTTTATCTTACCAGTCCATTTATGTAGTAATGCTGAAAACCTATATTTGCCATTTACTTCATTGTTGTGGTCAAAAGGAGCTAAGAGAAAGTAGTAGATGGGTATTTCTGCAATGCCTTGAATAAAATTTAAGGATATCAGAAAGAAGAGCCATAGAAAAAATGTGAAAGAACTGCAAAAACCAGTAAATCCTGGGGAAAGACATTATTACTTTCCTCAGAAATTCAATGCATGCTTTGAACTCAAGAAAACCAGCTGTCTGCAAGTACAGGCTGTGCTGGGTTTTAGTGAAGTGCATTCCTAGAAGCTATGCCAGAAAACGAGGGTGTGGGACGATGGTACTGTTTTACTCTCCACACAACTTCGGCTCTATAGAAACGCAGCTTCTCTTTCTCAGGTCAGTGGGGAGAGGTGCTGTGCTGTGCTGTGCTGTGCTGTGCTGTCCTGCCTTTGGCGTGGATGGCAGCACTGAAGAATAACTGCGTTCTGGGAGGAAGCTTTGTGGCATGTTAAAAAGCATGAATTCTGGAAGCAGAATTCGTTCGTCACAGATTTCTGTCATTTGTTACTTGTAGGACTTGGGCAGGTTACTTAACATGTTGCCGCAAATGACACTAATACATCGAAGAAGAAAACAAAAAGTGATTCTAAGCACGGTCGTCAATTTACAAGTGTGCAGCAATATGTTAATCTCTTTGAATGTTCGTTTACTTAATTTTGGAGGTTTTGTTAGTTTTTTTCCAAGCTAGTAAAAGAGAGTATTACCACTTGTTTTGTGGCACTGTATCAGAATTCAAGTTCATTTTACATAAAGGGCCAAGTGCCAGAGAGGTGCTCAGTAAATGGTGCTAATGTGGTGTGGCTAAAAACAGGCCATGTGGAAGCATGCACGAACACAGAGGGTTTGAATCCTCACCTTCAGATTGCATAAATGAATTCTGACTTGTAAAGCTATGTACAAGGCACAGAGATAGCAGGCATAGACCTTGAATAAAAGCATTAATCACACTGAAATATTTATAACAAATAGAAAACAAAGGGTGGTTGTTGTTGTTATGTGCCGTCAAGTCGCTTGTGACTCATACGGACCCTATGCACAGGAGCCCTAAACTCTGCTCTGTCTTGTGCCAATTGCACTGTCTCTGACACTCCCATCCCGATTATCCCAGTCACTGAATCAATCCACCTCATAGAGGGTCTTCCCCTCCTGTGCC